GGGGGGGGGGGGGGCCGTGCGGGTAGGCCTCTCGGTAGTAGACCTCACGTTAAACTGCAAACTGATAGTACTTCCGGCTGCATCCTGTATACGTGCCTTATTACAAATCTACGAGATAAGCGGAATTTACAACTTCGTAAAATTCATAGAATTGCGATGTTCAGGATGAAAGTATTATTCGCCTATTCTTCTTTTTACATATGTTTACACATTTACTTTAACAAATCTTTTCATTCACGTATTTCACATGTTGGAAAATAAAATTATTCAAATCAAAACATACTCTTAAAATGATCATATCTTTAGTTTAATTGACGAAATAATTTGCAGATGGGACGACAAAGTTGGCGACTGTTACGCCGACATTTGTGACGCGTCCTTTAAATACGATTACGAGTATTTGGGAAATGTTCCGCGATTAGTGATAACGCCGTTAACCGACAGATGTTATATTACTCTAACGCAATCTTTACATCTTATAATGGGTGGAGCGCCTGCTGGTCCTGCAGGAACTGGGAAAACAGAAACCACGAAAGATTTAGGAAGAGCATTGGGCCAAATGGTTTATGTGTTCAATTGTTCCGAACAAATGGATTACAAAGTGAGATGAAGATTACTTTGCGAACGAGTTTTCATTTTATATAAAAATGATCTCATTACACGGGGTGAGGCGAGACGCGTGGCAGGGGGTGATTCTACATATAAAAATGAACCGAAAATAAAGAATAAAATATTGTTATTCGGAGTTTAGTTTTCGAGAAAATCGAATTTAAAGATTCTTTAGAAACTGTTGCTTCAGCTCACACTGTTACGTTGATAAAAAGCGGTAATGTCACATTTCGCAAAGAAACACATATACGTTTGTGACTATTGTAAATAGATTGTAAATATTGTAAATAGCATTTAAGTTTAAGTTTACATTTTTATATGTAGATAAACCTTATACTTCAACCTAATATTTCAACCTGAAAATATGCAGTTCTTACTTTTCATTTTGATTATGTTACGAGTGGCTCATATTTAGAACACCTTTCTAAAAATGAAGATTTTCCCTTTTATTTTAAATGTATAATTTGTAAGTTACATTGCCTTTGTTCAGCTTACTTTGATTTCGTATCAGATAGTAAACATGTTATTGATACACATACATTCAAGTGTTATACCTGAAAAGTCATCCACAGATTTGACAATAAATCCTGAACTAAAAGTGGTAACCCATATTTAGACCTTCTCCACTACTTATTACGTCATTGATATGATTACATCATCAGATAGTCAAGTGCACGCGTACTCAATAGATGTTCAAACTCGATTTTCTCAAAAACGAGACTTCAATTGAAAAAATTTAATTCTTTATCTACGCGTCCTACCTCACTCTGTATACACACATAAATAAGTATAACTGCGAAGTTTTAAATTGGTGCAGTAAATAATTTGTACGTTGTGGAATATCTAAAATGTCTTATTTTTCTCCCATGTTTATTTTAATTTACGAAATTATCTTGCTTCGTTAAATTTTCGATAGATCTTGAACGATCGTTCATTTTCCCATTTCGCATATTACATCCTTATTTTCTTTTTCTTCAGTCTTGTGGAAACATTTACAAAGGCCTTGCTCAAGTGGGCGCCTGGGGTTGTTTCGATGAATTTAATCGCATTTCCGTGGAAGTACTTTCAGTGGTTGCCGTACAGGTGAAGTCAGTTTTGGACGGCGTGAAAAGTCGTAAATCGACGTTTCTGTTCTTTGGGGACGAGCTTAATCTCGTTCCCACCGTTGGAATGTTCATTACTATGAATCCTGGATACGCTGGAAGGACGGAATTACCGGAAAATTTGAAAACGTTGTTTAGGTAAATTGAATTTACAATGAAGTAGTTTGGCAGTTGAGGTTACGCGTTAAAAGGAAAGGTTGCGCGCGTTTGGTCCTTGGCCTCCAAGTGGACTCGCCAGTAAAGCTATCTACTTAGGAGACCCGGGTGCCTTTGACCCGGGGAGACTGTTAGACTCATTGTAAGTAATCAATCCTTCGACGTCCGATAGCTACGTGACTTCACAGTCTGTCTCTGTCTGTCTAACAAAGTCTGTCTAACAGTCTGTCTCTGTCTGATGGAGAGAATCGGCGGAAAAGTAAAGGTTGAGGGTGTTTTGTCCTGAGCCTTCTAGTGAACTCGTCAGTATTGCCTCCTATGATCGTACCGTTACACCCTAAAATATTTTCATTCTTAGTCCTTAGTTTTATCTGTATTCGCAACTAGTCACCTACTTTCACTGTTCCGTACGGAACAACAGTTCCCAAAAAATCACAAAACGGCCCTGACCGAGCCTCGACGCAGAGGATTAACGGGACCGTT